CACGGTTGGTATGGGAATGTGTAAACAGACTAAACGCCCTGGGGGAACTCAACACAGTACATCTGATGTAGGTCCCGGGCCACAAAGGCGTTCAGGGCAACGAGGAGGCCGACAAGCTCGCTAGGGAAGCAACAGCCACTCGACCCATAGGACCAGAACCCTTCCTTACAGTTGGTCCACACACTATCAGGGAAGAGTTACGAGTAGAGGAACGAAACCTGATCAGAACACATTGGAAGAACACGTCTGGACTAAGGTAGGCGAAAGAACTTCTAGGAAGCTGTAATCCCAGAAGATTCAGAGAACTAATTACACTCAACAAGACTAATTTAAGGTTTATTACACGAGTGCTAACTGGTCACTGAAGGCTGCGGGCCCATATGCATACCTTAGAGATTAGAGCAGACGATTCCTGCCGCTATTGCGACAGGGTCCCAGAAACCCCGCGCACATCCTCTTAGAATATGACGCAGTGTCGAGAAGAAGGCAAACACACTTGGGAAAGTTGTGGCCTGAGGCTTCACACATTCACTCTCTACATCCCTCGAAACTGCTTGGTTTCATCAGAGCACTGGGGCTGGACGAGGTGTTTTGATGAGCTCTGAGGGCACAATATACCTAAGGTCGCAGTGCACTTCTTCTAACAAATCTATCTATCTACTCTCTCGCTCTGAGCAAATTTTTAATTTTTGACAGTTTTACTAGTTTTAGTCGAAGGTGTTTTTGACCGGGTCACCCATTTGAATACAATAGCCCGAAATCATTGGGCAAATAACTAAACTGTATAGAGTTAAATCGTTATTTGGTTTTCCTCAATCAACAATTGCACCAAGATGACATCACGCACACAGCGGATACACAAAGAGCGGATTAACGGTAACGCGATGGGCGCAATCTCTATTTCTCCCAATCGCGTATTCAGATTGTATTTAAAAGGTCAGGAGCTAAGTCCTCATATCGCCAGGGCCTTCCTCCAATTTGATAAACTATTATCGGTCAGATTATATTTTTAGGTTGTAATGTAAAATTTGGAGTGCAATGGGGTATAGTCATCGCGTCCTCGTTCGCGCACTCTGGGCAACGTGAGCAACCCATGTGCGAGATGCGGTAACCAATCCGAGTGGAGCCTTGGGTCACGGCAGAAAGAGAGGGAGCTTCGGTGGGGCCACTCTGACTTATTCGGTTTAAGGGCTCACTGAAGTCTGCAGCGTCTGTTCACCAGTAGGTGCGGCTGCAAGCGGGTGTCTGCTTGGAGCAAGCGGCTCGCTATATAAACGTGTATTTGGTTGCGAAACCACCCC